CGGAGTCGACGGGGAGCGCATTCGGGGATCGATTTATTGCGTCTAGACGAGATGCGATAAATCGATCCCCAATAGACCGATTGCTACCCGCCAATCTGGCGGGTAGTGAAGACATACCCAAAGAGACAATTTCAAAGTTAGAGTTGGATTTCCAGCTAACACTGAGTAGGTTAGAGCTATTTTACCCACCAGCTTACATAATAGAAAAGCCAAGGTCCCCCGCTAAACAAACCTGCCGGAGATCTAAAATCTTTTTGTCTGAATTGTCTTCAGTTTATATTTTATGTTGTATAGTTAATAAACTAAACTTTTATGCATCTGCTCTAAACGCTAATCTGCTCAGCTTTCAAGGGTGAAGTAGCGTGAGTGATCACGGCCAGTAGGCAATCAATCCTATTTTCCAATACAGTTGACCAAAGTTCTTTTTTACTGCAGAATGGTTTGAAGTGAATTGTAAGGTCACTCCATTCTCCAGCTCTCTGCACACCAGTATTTTGACCATATTTTAATAGAAATCTCATTCCCAAATGGTACAAATTTGTAATGAAGAGTGGCTATTAATGGTGACCTGACCTCTCTACCTATCCACCCCTCAGAGTATCATTGAATTCAGAGATGAAATGATACTGACAAATGTACATTACAAAAATAAAGGGCCAAAGTCAGAAGCAAGTCAAATAAATCTACACTGATATGACATATACTTTCTTCCGGTCCCTATAGCATGAGCGTTGCACCAGCTTAGACACTCTTGGACTCACATCCACATGTTAACATGTAACTTGCATTATCTCTAAATTTGATCCAAAGATATTTGCTAAAATTGGTATTAAAAAGCATCGTAGATGAAGTGTAGATAGAGAAGATACCTGAGGCCATCTTAGAAATGAAAGCAACTGCCCAGAAGTTAGTGGGGGGTCAGGAGCGTCTCAGGGACTCAGAACAGGATCGCTTCATTGGAGAATAAATTACTCTGGCGTCTGACCAGAAATTCCAAAGAATTTACAATTCTAGATCTCAAAACTGGGGTCGGGGGTGGGGAAGCCATTGTGACTTTGCAGGAATGGAGCAGCAATGGGACTTCAAAGGCAGAATGTCAAGAAAGTTAGGAGCCACAGAAGTAAAGAATTAGGCTGAAATGGGCCTAGGTGCACAAGTGGTGTGAGAGGAGGAACAGGAGCCCTCCCCCAACCTTGCACCAACCACAGTCATTAAAGCAGCTCATCAAAGCCTTTCACTGCTTCCTGCATATTGGATTGTTACTGGGGCCTAATTTAACGCAGCCTAAATTTAATCAGCTCCACTATTCACTCAATAGGGGAGGGATCTTTTCCAGTCCTTGCCTTTAATGGTGAACATGGGGAAGTATATCCTTATGAGGTTGTCTGTGGCAGATAGGTTCTCAGGATTTTATTTTTATTTTTAAAACACTATAATTATAAAGTGGTAATTGGGAACAAAAAAACATTCAGCAAATATTTTAATGGCAAAACACAAAACCACGTAAAAAGGGATTCATTCTTAGCACAGCAGTTACACAAAACACCTTACTACACTAACAACATGAAATGAATGGAGGGAAACTATTGACAGAGGATGCTAATGGATTGAAACAATGAATGAAAGTTGTGGTGGAAACACAGACCACTGTGGATACAGTACCGGGATTGTTCCTCATACGGAAATATGAAGACGAGGCGCCAAATTCTGGCTGGCAATCGGAGAGAGACATAATGGATTCTCAAACGTGCCTATGGGTCAATCCTGCAAGGTGCTGAGCACGCTGGCCCTAATCCAGCAAAACACGTAAACACAGGACGTTATTCTACACTAGTGAAATCAATGCAGAGCTTTGCCATTGACTTCAGTGAGTGCAGGATCAAGCCAAGACTTATCTTTACATATGTGAGCAGTCCCGCTGAAGTCAACGGCAGAACTTGTGTGCTTGAAGTTAAGTATATGCTCTGGTGTTTTGCTAGATGGGAACCATAGGCTGCAAAGTAGTGCTAATCAGAATGAGATCAGCCCTGTATATAGGCCTGGTAGTCTATCCCTACTGGGGCAAATCTTGAAGACTTTACTCAGTTTTCAGTCAGTCCTTATTCAGACTCAGGAGGAGTAGGCTAGGAAGTGGTAAAAACCTGATCCCAGAACTCTGCATTCTGTCCAGGAGCTGAAATAACCATGAGGGTGACAGGTTAAGTGAGTAAACATCATGAAATGATGACTGCCTAGGAAGGAGTACTGCAGAAAAGGATCGGGGGGGGGGGGATGGTTTACAGTGGATCTCAAACTAAATATGAGTCAACAGTGTAATGTTGCCCCCCCCAAAAAAAGGCAATCGTTGTGGGATGTATCCAAAGGAGAGTTGTAAACAAGACACAAGAAGTAATTCTTCCATTCTACTCAGCACTGATCCAGCCTCAGCTGGAATACTGTGTCCAGTTCTTGGCACTGTGGACAAATTGGAGAAAGTCCAGAGGAAAGCAATAAAAATGATTAAAGGGTCTAGAAAACATGACATATAAGGAAAGATTGAAAAAATGGGGTGGTTTAGTCTGGAGAAGAGAAGATGGGAGGAGGAAATGATAACAGCCTTCAAGTATATAAAAGGCTGTTATAAAGAGGAGGGTGATAAATTGTTCTCCTTAATCATTGAGGACAGGACAAGAAGTAAAGGGCTCAAATTGCAGCAAGAGAGATTTAGGTTAGACATTAGGAAAAACTTCCTAACCGTAAAGGTAGTTAAGCACTGGAACAAATTACCTAGGGAGGTTGTGGGAACAGATTAGACAAATACCCTGTCAGGGATGGTCTAGATAATACTTAGTCCTGCCTCAGTGGAGGGACTGGACTAGATGACCTATTGAGGTCTCTTCCAGTCCTACATTTCTATGATTGTGAGGTCACTAAGTGTATATACGTATAGATTTAGGCCACAAACCCTATTTAGGCTGGCCCAGAACTGTAATATAGAATTAGTATTGCAATAGGTGAGGCTCAGGCTATCTGTCCCTGCCCAGGCAAAACTCAGATGACTTCATAGGTGTAAGTACCACAGATATGGGGCCTAATTCTCATTTCTGCTAAGGCTCCTTCACATGGCTCTGAAGGTATAAAGAAGTCTTAAACTGGGTATAAATGTCATTTTCTCCCACTTTAGGTACTTTGATGCTATTTATCTAAACACTTATTTTTCACTCCTTTTTCTGATCTTTAAAATTTGATACACCATACACCCTGCCTGCCACTGTTCACAATATTATGCCTTATAAATTGTATAGGCCTGATTTTCAGACAATTTACACACTCAAATTTATGCTCAATTACATGCCTCATTTGCACACGCAGTTGCCATGATTTCATGCACTAATCCCAAGTGCCTAATTTTTGCCATCCTGGCATGCATCTACTCGCAGTCATAGTAACTGTGGGCGCAAATTAGGCACACCCAAATAAGAAGTCCTATCTTTGTACTTTTCTTTCCTTCTATGTAAAACTTCAAATTAATAAAAAAAAATGTTGTTTGTTTTCTTGGCAAAGGAACATTCTGTTTAATGTATGTATATGGAACGTTAGCAATGTTTAATGCCATTTAAGAAAGCAACAATCAGAACATTTGATTTTTTAGTTTTGGGAATTGTACTGAAGGAATAAGCATCATGGATTGTTTTTTTATATGATTTTATGTAGACTTGAATGGGAAATGTATTTTTAATACTTGTTTAAGTAACGCCTCCAGCCTACTCCTTCTTGGATTACTCAGAATTGAAGGACCCCAAAAAATAATATACTTAGACATAGCCAGCTTGACTCTGAATTCCTTTCCACCAAAACCAATGGAGTTGCGCCATTAAAAGCCATGTGAACAAGAACAGAATCAGGGTCTGTCTCCCCGGAATTGAAGCGCAGCATATAGAATCTAGCAAAAACATTACCAAATTCACACGAAGGAAACATATCCTTATGAAATATTACCATGACGCTTCATAATATTCCAAGTTATGCGCTACTTTAAAGAACATCGGTGGCAGTAAGATTTTTCCTTTCGCTCATTTCATTTTTGGTCACAGTGTTTTGTTTTGTTTGTTATTTGCTGTAATTTGGTGTTTACTTTTATTTATTTATTTACCCTATACATCTATAATAGCTGCCTCTGGCATGGACCGCAGCCATTTCACTACTAGGCTATATGAAGACAGCACAGACCAACCCACTAACATTTTGTTCAGAGGTTAGGTTTAAATGAAGTTTACTTTTTTTTAATGATTTATAAAAGTTGGGAAGATTTTTGTTTTCTTTAGTCGTTACGAAAACCCAGAAGGCCAGGTTGTAACTTCGACACACAGGCCAGTGCTGGGTGCAGAGCGAAGCTACCTTGCAGGGGAGCTACGGGAAATGTACTCTCATTCCACCACCTTCAGGAGGGTACAGTATTAATGCCTCCATGCACTTGCCCACTCCCCAGCCCTGAGCAGTGGGCAAATGGGTGTAGCTATGTCTGTGCCCACATGGTGACCGGCACATCAAGGGTCCTTAGCACTAAGTGCAGTCCGTGGCTTAAGAGACTAAGTTTTATATACATTTTAAGCGAATGTATGAATTCATTGGCTAATATTTAAAGTTCGTGATCTAGGCCATTGCAGACTTTGATTTTCACTGATAACTCAAAGTACTGCATCGTTTAAATGGTATTAAACTGCTTGAAAGTCTGGAAGTCTTACAGTGGGTTTTTATAGTGGGATAATATTTATAAAGTAAAATATTGCCTCTCAGCTGTGGCAATGCCCTGTATTTAGAACTGCTGAAACATTCAATCCAGTGAATAATTATTTTGTTCTTTTGATTTTTTGTTCCCTGCCTGAATTATAGATGAAATAAACTGAAGCCTTTAGATGTTATCGGTCTGAATGTTCTCCATCTCCCTGAAGTAGAGAAATAATCTGCTTCTTGCTTTTCGTTGTGAATTCATTGCTGACTTCTGTCTTATTTTATGACAGCAAATGGAACATCAAGCAGTCAGCTGTCTACACCCAAATCCAAGCAGTCTCCAATCTCCACACCTACCAGTCCAGGGAGCCTCCGTAAGCACAAGGTATTACGTTTCTTATACCTTACTAAAACTGTTCCTAGCTACATATACCTAGACATAGAGACAAAATGGCTAAAATAAATCACGTTCTTGGGTGGCATAACTCCATGGGTTACACCCTCAGAGAATCTGGCCCATTACCTAGAATCTTTTTGTTTTCAAAGACTAAAAATCCACCGTGAGTACCTGTAAATGCACTTTGTAGGCTAATAAGGCAGTATGTCAGAAGCTTTTTACTGAATGTAACAGAAGTGAGGGCTGTTTCAGATGGTTGTTTCCTCTGCAGCTGTTTTTAGCATTGGCCTTAGGAACGGCTTGTGCCTGTTTTCACATACAGTCAGTTTGGTACGTGTGGTTCTCTCCACGTTCCCCTGAACAACAGGAACAAGACCAACAAATCAAGGGTTGGTATATCCCCGTGAACCTCTGCTGCAAGGAATAAATGAACAGAAGGAAATGCAAGGCCCACAACTTTGGCCCCTCTCACTGTCCATCGGAGCTGTCGTCAACACTTGCACACTGCTGCTGCAAAAGCTAATGGAGAATCAGGATGGGTGTTACTTAGTTACACCAGAATTTCCTATGGAACCACAGCTGGGGTTCTCACTCTATACATGCAACACAGAACAAAGCCCTTCATTTTCTAAGCACTTAATCCAGTACCTTTCACTAGCACTAAATTCACACAGTGCTGCATTTTCTTACCTGTCAATTCAAATTTCTAGTAGTTGTAAAATTTTAGGGCAAAACTCTAACCACCGGTGAAGGTCTGTAATCTGCCATACAGGTTAAAACTGGACCCAAACTGCAGAATTCAGAACCGAGTCCAGATGAGAAGCTCCCTAAAGTTAGGGTACTGTTTGGATCTCAGCTGTTGGTTTGAACTTATTCTCAGTATCACATATTTTGCATTAGACCGTCTTGCCGGACTACCAGTGCTATAGGTGGGAGTTCCGTGTGAGCTACTTAATAACAATATTTATGTTTGTAAAGTCCTTTCATTCTAAAAGGATCCCAAATCCCTTTACAAATGTCATACTTTCAGCACTGCTGAAATACATCCACCTTTAGGTGGATGGTGTATAATTCTGGGTGGGAGGGGAGATGAGGAAATTACATTTTGGCCAAAGATCTTGTGGCAAATTCCTGCTTTTACAAGTAGTGTCATGAAATCCTTAATGTCCCCATAGTAGAGATAAGATGTTGGTTTTAAGATCACATCCAAAACTGCACGGAACTCCGTTTATAACCCCCAGACAAATGAAGGGGCTGAACCAACCTTTCTGTGACTTAAACCCATGGCTCTGGGGTGTAGTGGTAGGATGGGCCATAGATCACTGATCCACGCCCTCTATTTCCGAGACAGAGAGAATGACCCCTGATATAGATCCCCAGTGTGGATCCGAGAGGATAATTGTGTCCTTAAACTGTATCACTCTGAAATAGTTTCTGGTGTAGTGATATGCACATTCTTCAAGTAAACCTTTCTATCTTGAAAAGCCTAAAGTGCTGGCAACTCTACACAATGAAAGAAATGTGCACGTCTAAATAGTGAACCGAATATTGTCTTATAAGGAAATTTAAAAAAACAATAACTTTAGGTCATGCTCTATTTTACAGGCTACGAATTACTGTGTAATTACATTCTGTGATAATTCCTTTCTGGTGCAATGACTGCTTTTCCTGGTAACATCCTTTCATTTACCATGTCATCGGAAGGGCAGCAGGGAATTTTGTTACACATCTGTGAACTTGTGCTGCTGTCATCTATGACCACAGGTGGATCTTTTGTTAAAGGGTCCCTCAGCACTCACAGTAACTGGTTCTGCTGCTCAGCCAGCCTTTTGGCTGCATCCAGTTTGTCTTTCCCACTGGCTTCCTCTGATCTCTTTTCTGGGCTACGCTACCCCACAGACTGGGTATCCTCTTCTCCAAGGTGTCCTCACTGAATATAGAACACATGCTAATTGTTAATTTCAGGGGTGAAATTCTAGACCCATTGAAGTCAATGGGAGTTTTGCCATTGACTTCAATGGGATCAGGATTTCATCCTAGATCTTCCTTTGAAATAAACAGTCCTCTTCATTACCTGACTCTTCTGCTCTCCAGTCGCAGGTGGTTTTCTTTATCTCTCTGATAGTCTCCAACTCTCAAAGAGAGCCCTACAGAAGAATTAGGCAGTTACTTGGTTAAATCGCTGCTGTGCATTTTCTGAAATCAGAGGAATATAAATTTTTTTATTGAAAATAGGTGGGTCTCTTAGTAAAGAAGAACAATGATCAACATTCCTCATGCCTCCTTACTTCCTCATGGCTGAGGGCTAGTCTTATGCTTCAGTATGTAACAAGCTCAACATGGTAGAGGCAGTCACTAGTAATGGATATAACATTTTAATTGACCTTTGATGGCATGGAGGGGTTAAGCCGGTGGAAATAAAGCACTTTGGGCTGAAATTTGGATGTCTTCAGGAGCACATTTCTTGAACAGATTCTGATTTTCAGGTTTGTGTGGCCCCATTGGTAAAGGCTGGGAGTGAACAATTTTAAAAAATGTCCTTTTTTTAAAATGACAGACACCACCCTACTTTTGGCACTCGACTGTAATTGAATAAACAAATGGGCCTGGCAGACTGAGTCTGCGTTAGAGGGGGCTGAATTAAAACAAAACCTTGGAATAATCATAAGACAATGAGGTCTGAAAATCAGCTTAGTCAGGAGTTGACTAAGCCAATGAAAAGAATCCCATTGCTCATTAGGGGCCAGACTGTGCAATCCTTACTCACTTTGAGTGGTGCATTATTCTTTGAGTTGTCCCTATTTGAGGATTAGGGTGGTTGACTGAGGATCAAGGTGAGTAATGGGATTAGAATCTGGCCTGTAGTAATTTTGGGTCTGAATAAAAGCCCAGTGAAATCAGTGGAAAGTCTCCCATTAATTTCAGTTGCTTTGATGAACTACATAGCATGTAGGACCTTAAAGCACGGCCCCTGGTTTGGGACAGTGGAGTCATACCAGCTGAGCAGGACTTCCCAGAGATCCCTACACCTTAGACATACATAATATCCAGTGAAGCTGGGGAAGCATGAGCTGGAGACTAGCGTCTGAAAATCTTGGCACTTTGCATATTTCAGTCAGATCCTTAATGTTATTGTAACGTACATTCTTACGATGAAATGAGCATGTTCAGCATGGACTTCTAGGGCCTGACTTCACTGAAGTCAATGAAAAGGCTCCCATTGGGCTTTGGATTAGGTCCTTAATACCAAATTTTTAGCCAGGCTGAGTCCGGTCTTTGAATTTGCATTCTCACTTTTTCACATGCAACTGACTGTGGCTGCCAAAGTGTGTGTGAATCAATTTAGTGCATGCAAAAGGGCATTTCCCTGTACATCTGGGTGTTAGTACACACTAAACAAGTGCACAGTCTCTTCTGCTGGTACAGTCGGATGACTGTGCAAAGTGCAAGGCGTAGGCTTCAAAAGTAGCTCTTAGCGATTCCTATAGAATGCCTGATCTTTAATAGTGCTGTACGAACACTTCCTCAATCACATAATCCCTGTAGAAAATACCTCTTGCTGGGGAAAGTAGCAGGGGTTAAGTAACAACCAGTCACTTGTCTCATGGGGGCAGCTCCTGGCCCACAGCCTGCACACAGCAGTTGTTCATGTATTTTTCAGGTGTTTAAGGCTCCCTTTTATACCTCAGTAATCAACAATATGAAAATACTTCTCAAATATTGTAGGGGTTGGGGTTCCCCCCCCCCAAGGCTTATAACTAAAATTATAAACTCACCTTGTTTAATGTTTTATTTATGTTTGTTGCCTAGTTGGCTCTGGACCATTCTAGTGAATTCCCATAGAAAATTTACAATTGACGGTGATTACTGAGAGCAGAGCTGATCAACAACAGGCTTCTCCACTGAATTAACCGTAGACATGAATGTAACCTTTCATGTGTCATCGGTTTGTTTCCAGGAGCTATTCTAGTGCTTGATAAAGAGCTTTATCTTTCCCTTTTATCTGTTCTCTTAGGGAAATCCCCCATCCCAACCAATGTTTTGAGGCTTGAGGTGTGTATAGAACCCCTCCTCCTCCCGTAAAATTCTTTGTGCTTTGCTGTGTTTTGATAATAGCCCCTCTGTGGGGCTATAACACAGCATTCAGTAAGGAACAAGGAGAGCTTTAGCCTTCTTTAGTGATAGTTTGCATACATGGATCCATATGGGACCTTTTAAGAGGTGGGACCAGATCAAAGCCTAAAATAGGAACTTTGGAGTTCATATCCAGAGCCAGAGCCAGATGTGGTAGCCTGGACTAATTTTTAAAGCCATCTAATTGTTCATGTATAATTATTATGGGCTTGAAATAAAGACCATCTGATAAAGCATGTAATAGCCCCCTCAACTCTCTAGAGACAGCTGTTCTAAAGAAGTTGCATAGGGGCAGCTGTCAAATAAAGGTAAGACTCTTTATTCTGGACCTAGGTTCAAGCTGACCTGGATCACAAAAGATTCTATTGATTCGTGCAAAATCTATCACAGATTGACACCGAGTGAGAAGTGGCTAAAAGGTTCTTCTCAAATTACCACTGCCTTTTGTTAATGAGATCTTCCTGCTCCACCATGCATGTAATCTGCCATGGTTTCAGTCCTGAACTCCTTAGACAATAGGTTTGTCCATTTGTAGTCCCATGAAGAAGACTTCAACCTTGTTCACAGGAAGTGGTACTCCACTGAATTGAATCATAGAGCTGTCTCCTTACTATAAGATTAAGTTGGAAACTGATTGTGGGAGTTAACACTTTCTTCTTTCTTCTTACAGGACTTGTACCTGCCTCTGTCCTTGGATGACTCTGATTCCCTTGGAGATTCCATGTAAAGGAACACAATGCTAATTGTCCTTAGTACAAGCTATGTTTAAAATACAGTACAGTACTTCTGCCAAAAGAAGCAGATAGATGACTGGTACTTTCAAATCAAAGGACACAACGTTATATGTCATTTTTTTTCTGTGATTTTTCCTCCGTGCCACAAATCGACACCTATCAACTAATAGGGATAGAGTGATACCATCCTTCTGAGTAATTATATAGGGATGTAAAATGGGCATTGCCAGCAATCTGACACCAATGATCTCATGCATTTCCCCTTTACTTCAATGTTTTTCTTCTGCTCTAAGTTCTTGAGTTTACTATTGACTGCAGAAAAGTTGACAGTTCCCACTAGAAATACAGAAATAAATCTTTCGCTGATCAATTCTAAAGCTAAAAGAAAACAAATACTAATCTCCACCTTTTCAAAATGCTGATGAATGCTAGCAGCTCTTTGAAAGCAGATCTGCTTCTAATTTTGCATCCCTGGTTTTAGCACCTGCATGCTGTCTAGCACCAATTTCTGTTGCTGAAGGGTAGGGAGAGAGATGACTTGTTGCTCTGGTAAAAGATGCTTAAGATGCCAGCAGAATGTGAAACAAAGGAGTTTGGACAAGATTCAGAAATGCTGCATAAAATGCTAAGTAAAGTTTTTATAGCACAGTGATTACATTATAAATTTATGTATTGGGTCATTTTCTAATAAATAAGCAAAGATATATATACATGTCAGCTGAGTGGTGAACCAGATTTCTCATGTAACCCAAAGATAATGCTGGCTGATATCAAGTTATTATACCTGCCATATGGTATCTCTCTATCTCTGCTTATAATATTAATGCCTTGTAAACAGCCAACACTGAAAACACTGTGAGAATTTGTTTTCAGGTCTGACACCTTTAGGTCGCTTTTTGTAGCAAGAAACCAATACACTTTTTATAAAAAAAAACAAAAAACTTGTATCTGTGTTTTGGGAGTAAGTCTTCAAGCTCCTTTTTTATAAAAGCTGGTGATTTTCTTTTGTTTAAAAAACACATTCAGAAAAATTTACAAAAAAAAAGCCAATTGCAAAACAGTAATAACTGTGTTTAGAAATCATGTCATCACTGCCAAACAGAAGAGAAGTCAATTCAAAATAATGAATGTTTTGATAATTTTTTTGTAATGTTTAAACTTGCATTTTTGGTCTATACAATTCAATACCCCTAACTATGGTCAGAGGCTCTAATTATATTACAAATGGAATTTTGTGATATTCAAAGACGGTATTTTAAGAAACTCATATCGGGGGGGGGGGGAAACAAACTGTTATGGAATTTAGAGAAACCTTTCACTTTTATTAATTACTAATGACTCCTGCAGGATGCAAAGTTTATGTATTTACAAAATGCTGGTGGTTTTTACTATGCTTAGGCTTTACTGGCATAGGTTAGTTCAGTGAACCTGACTACTACAAAACTTTACCTGGGTACAGTACATGCAAATAAACCTTTTGTTGTTGTTGTTTTTGCTTTTATTTTAACTTTGGTTCAGCAGATATGCAGATTATTGTATGTCTTTGCAATCCCTGGTCATTAGAATGAATTAGGAAGTTGTGATATTGGATGCTACACGAATGCTTGGCAATAGGATGGCACCGTTTTGTTCCTTCATTTGTGCCAGGATGCCATTCCATATTTTTTGTTTTTTCCATTGCTACCATTAACACTCTGTACTGGCTGCATCTTTTGTGATGATGTGTATAATGCAAGGTGGTTTTTTTTTAAAAAGAAAAAAGAGCTGCGTGTGAGATGATCCAAAACAAACATTGGAGTTACCCAGAGGTTTGAGTTATTTTGCACCAAATTTGCACCTACAGTCTTGAGCCCACAATTATGTGCACCCACAATTTTGCATGAGAAATCATTTGTTCCCACGAAAAACTTAATTTAAATGTGTAACCCTCTGACCACGTTGAGGTTAAGTGCCCATTTGACCTATTGTATTAAGATATTTGACTTCAATGCAGACGGACGAGGGTTCATGTTCTTTCCTGGTTAGAGCTTCTTGTTGGGGAAGGACAGTTTTGTGAACAAAGCACAGGAGTGTTGTCAGACGATCTTAGTTCAGCCCTTGGCTCTGCCAGATTTCGTGTATGAACTGGAGCAGGTCTCTTAGTTTCTTGGTGCCTCAATATATTTATCTGTAAAATGAAGATAACTGCTCTATTTGACAGGGGCTTGTGAGGCCGAATGTCCATTAATGTTTGTAAAGTGCTTTCAGACCCACTGATGGAAGGTGCTTCATAACTGCAAGGTTTTACTATTTGTGGACACAAACCTGATTATTTTAGGGGCTGATGGTTGGGTGTATGATCAAGTGGATGCTATTTTAGAGACCATCCTTGAAAATATGGCTCTTTAAGTTTAAAGCATCAGAGGCATCATAGAACAAATTATTTATGCCAACAATACTACTGACTACAGCCTGTGTTACACTGAGAAGTCAAATTTACCTTTGGCACAATGGAAACTGGCTTCCTCTTATCTTCTCTGTTAGGAATCTTGAAGATCCCCACCACCAGTTTTCCCCCAGGGCCTTCCTAAAGGCTTTGAATGGTAGCCACCATCCTATCTGTTAAAGATGACTGAGCAGTTCTGCAGTGACAATTATGCTTCTTAATGAGGCAGAGGAGTGGTCACTTGAGTGACACAAGATGCTCCCACCCCATCCATGGTCTGAGTGTCTTGCCACTCATCTCCCAATCCCTGTCAGTTTAGGAGGCAAGAGACTAGCACCAAAAAATAAATCTGGGACTTCCTTATAGCAGTTCAGAACACTTATCAATAGCTCACTGGGAAATCCAAGTCTCTTGTATCCATAAGCAGATATGAGTCATATTACTGACAGCAGTACTGTACGGTGCTTAAAGATGCATCAGAAAACTCAGTTTCTCTTCTCCAGGATCTGTCAAAATCAGTTTGCATGAGACAAAGCAGGAACCCAAAAACTGAATGGAATTTTGGGCAACCTATTATGTGGGTAGCTTAAGCAGAAGTAGATAGTTTTCCATCGGCCATGAACAGTGCTTAGATAATTAAAAAACAAACAAAAAAACCCTGCTAGTGGAACTTTCTAAAGAAATGTTACAGGCTGTGAATTGCACTTAACGTGACATTCACAAAAACTGTGAATTGCACTTAACGTGACATGTCTAAGAACTTGATCCTGCAAATACTCACTCATGGGAGGAGTTTTGCATGCTCAAGCACTACTCACACGAGGAAGGGTTCTTCAGGACTGAGCCCGATGATCGGTTTTGAGCACACACTGCCTCAACAAGGGAATTTACAGAGGCCTAATAGAAGAAAGCATTTTCTTCAGAGGGAAAATAATAGCCATTCAGTTGAGCAAAAGCCACAAGTAAAACAGGGTAAGAGGTCACACTCCCAGGTTTAAGATGCATTTCTCCAGGTAGAGATACCTGGACTATAGGTAGAGATCAGTGAGCATTTCAGAGGTAACACATAATTAGTCTGTATTGCATGAGTACTTGTACAGAAATGCATGTGGATTAGCGTCCATACGGTGCTAGGTTTTTTCCAGAATCCCTGGAATATAAAAAGAAAAGAATTATAGACAGTATACGAGTAATTTCAATATATAGGTGGCCCTGATTCAGGAAAGCATGTATGCATGTGCTTATTTATAAGCATGTGCTTAAATTCCATTTACTTCAGTGGGACTTAAGCACATGCTTAAGTGCTGTTCTGAATTGCGATGAATTCTGAATTACTTGTAGCATACTACTGCAGCAATTCCAGTCAAATTGAGTTACTTGGAGCAGACTATAGTAATGCCATGATAAACTTCAGCATTCACTTCTATTTTTTTTCTTCTTTTACAAACACACAAAACTCCTCAGGATATAAGGATTTGCCATATTCTATTATAAAAGCGCGGTCTGATTTCCCGTATGAGGCTGTTTTAAGTGTTTTCAGAGACTGAGTCACTATGATCGAATTGTTTAGAAACGATACATGAAAGAATCGTAAGCGTTGTGTATTACATAGCTCTATCTGTAATTTACACTGTGCCTGGTCTATTTCAGTGTCTATACATATTAAACAGTATGTATGCATATTTCAAGGCATATCCACATTAAGGAGGATTAGAGCAATGTCAGTGCCAGTTTTGTGTGTAGAAGATCAGGCTCACAGAGTATCGCATCAAATTATAGATCCTTCTGAAACTTTTTGTTAATATCTGAATCCTAAAGTGTATGGACCAGCCACTTTGCTAGTGTGAATTGTGGAGCTACACCAGCTCTACCACCAGAGCAGATAATCTAGTCTCCAGTTTACGTGCATGAAGCCCCTAAGGTAGACTTAAAAGATTTCAGTGACTTGGTTTTAATTTGGCACATTTTTTGTGATGGGATGTCAGACTTCCTTCTGTCCTAAAAGTGTCCACGTTCCTAATCTCTGTACATTGAGTGTTGCCTTTTCCAGGGCTAGGAGCTCGAACTGTGTTACCCTCTGTGAGATCAGAAAAAGTAGTTTAGCTCAGCTGCCACATCACTCTTTCTCTGTGATCTGTGTGTCTCTCCCAAACCACCGGCTGTGGTTTAGCCTTGTTTCAGTCTTACAATTTTTGAATGGGAAAAAGAGAGAGGGAAACTAAAAGATATTGGTGCGGAACCAAGCAATGTTACAAATAAGTTATTTTTAATACGGAAAAGGTGATGTAAAAAGTATGTTCTCCTTTAATATTATTAAATATAGGACCTCTTACATGATGTTTTGGTGGCTGTTCCTTATTGTCTTTGACCGTAGAAATGACATCCTGCTACATCATGTGGTAGCTCCTGACATTGCTCTTTTCGGGCCATACAATATCCTTGCTTACGTGCAACTCCATTGACAGGCATCAGTGGAAGTCACATTCTCTATTCAAGGGTACAGTATGACCCTTAAAGTTCAATCTTGCTTCCTTTAATGTCAATAAGAGTTTTGACATTTACTTCAATGGGAGCATGATAGGGTCCTTATATCTATCCTTCACCCACTGAAGTCAACGGGAGAGATGCCATTAACTTCAATAGGAGCAGGATCCACCCTTACAGAAAATAAATAAGAAAATAAAATACATGGAAATATAGTATAGCCACAGAGGAATCTGAACGTGCACACGGTGTAGTCTCCCCATGTATTAACAATCAAATGTAGGTAAGAGGGAACAAACTAGTTTCTTTCTTTAAATGGTGATTTTACACATGTTTTGAAAGTGATGAATATTCAAGTTATTTTTCTGGTTGTGGATCCAATATTAAAGCTGGTGGGAAGTTGCTTTTCAGGCTCCATGATGTCATCTGTATTTGGGAGCTAGATGGCTCACGGTGTTTGCAAATGAGACACAGAACTTTTCACCACTAGGTCTCCATTGAGATTTAAGCCAATACAAAGAGCCAGGTGTGTTTGCAGTGGGGCACAAGCTTTATTAGGGATAACCTTGAAACGATACAGCTAGCACTAAGTCTGTGTGTAGTGAGACCAACTTGATTAACTTCTTAAGTGCCTTCCAGCACATCTTCCCTGTTTGGGTTTCAGAAACACTTGCTAATATTGAAAAGCCCAATAAGGTGTAAGTGTGAACTGGCAGCCAAGGTACGCTACCTGAATCTGGAGTCTGCGGAGATGATTATTCTGCTTCATATTTATTCAGCTGGGTCTGGGTTAGCACACTGTGAAAATGATGGTCTAGTTTATCACAGATTCATTCTGCCTGGTGGCACTGATGCCCTCTCACAGCATGTCCATGGATTTGAGGAGGCCTTCTCAGTGGTGGGTCAGGATTGAGATGAAGCTGAATCCTGTTTCTCTGAAGGCAGCCTGCTGGGCGTGTGTTAGATAGGATTGGAGGGTTCTTGCTGCTCCAGTCATGGATCCTGTTGTTGGGTCTTCTTGCTCCCCACCATCTCCCACTCCCACTTTTCTCCTGGCCTTAGCTCTGGTTTATCTTGTAACATGTGTCTTCGGTTGTAAAGCTGGGGGTGGGATTCCTATAACTCTGCGTTTTTCTCTGAACACTTTAAGATCTGGCCATTCAGAATTTGATTGATGGGTCTGGTAAAGAAATCTCCATCTTCCGATCCGTTGTGCTGGCAAAACACCACATGCTAATGGTGTAGCTCTATGTGCTAAGAGACCCTAATGTGGTTCTTGAGCCTTTTTTCCTTAGAGCTTTTATTGTAACAACTGCTCTTTCAGGTTCCCCATTTGGGGCAGGAAATGAGGACCATTAGTTGTTTGGTTAAGGTCACAAGGTCTGGTTCTTATTTAAAGTAAGACTATTTTACATGGCTCTTAGAGTGAGAGTAAACTACACATGTACCATTGTGACGGCCTTTTGCACGGCCAGCGTGGTGTAAGGTGACCTTAGGGTAAATGAGCCTCAAGCCCATATTCTTAGCCTAGTGGATAGAGCACTGGACTGAGATTCAGCAGACCTGGCTTCTATTCCCAGCTCTTCCATGGGCCTGCTGGGTGACCTTAGGCAAGTCGCTTCTCCTCTTGAGCCTCCGTTTCTGCATGATGGAAAGGGCTGTAGAAGAGCTAGGGATTCTTTGTATTTATTACGTAATGAAGTCCGCAAACTGCACGGTCCATTATCCTTGGCAAAAATTTCCAGAACTCATTATCACGTGAACATGGTTTTTAATCTGTTAACCCCGTGTGTGGATGAGTTTGCAGGCAGATTAGCCTCTTTCGCATATTGTGAATGGGAAGCTACTGCTACTCTCCTGGTGGTGGTGTTTAAGTTACATAGGTCGGTGTTTATCGGCTGCCTTTGTCTTTCTCTCAGCTCTCTGCTCTAATTGACACTAGCTTCTTTTGCACAAATTACACAGCTTTCCATTTTGACTGTCCTGGACACCGGACTGTTTGATGTGCTCTTGTGCTGCACTTCATTACTTCTTTGTGAGCTTAACGGATCTTTCCCAGCCTTTCCTCTCTTTGATCTTCTGGTTTGATGAGCCTCTGTCCTTTTAAGAGCAGACCGTCCACTATATCGATGCCTCATTTGTACTGCCAGTATTGTAGGAGCTGTTCAGGGATTGCTCCCTTTCTTAGCCTGCCTGTCTCTGCCTATCTGCTTAAGTATCGGCAAGTCCTAGGACCTTTGTTGTGCTTGCTCAGTTTGGACTGGGTCGCTGGGAAGCTTTGACTTATCTGGTCTCTGTACAGCTTGAGTTCTATTAAAAATTCTTCTTTCATCACCGGGCTATGTGAGGAAACTCTGGAGAGAGCATCTGCCCACACAAGGCTTATCCTGGGAATGTGCAGTACTGTGTAGTTGAAGAGAAGTCAGTGCAGGTGGAATCTCAGTGTTTAGGAGGGTGGCTCATGCCGGGTCTTCAACCACAGCAAGGAGCTCCAGACAGGAGATTGTCATAAGCAAGGGAGACTGAAGAACAGACAAAGAAAGATAAAGGAATAATGACACTAGACTGTGCTTTCCCACTCATAGTGTGGACCCAATTCTGGCAACGGGGTGGAAATTGTCCACATCACTTCTGGCTCTCTCAAAACTCTTGGCGAGTCCAGTCAATCCAATAGAAACCCCAGAACATCATTTCATGGTGACACCTAGGGCAATGGCACAGACCCACAGCCAGGTCCCAAACTCCTGCTTCTGGGCTGAAAGATATTCGCATGCTAACCAATGTTTGCCTGTTTGGGGCCCATTTGTGCTACTAACCAAAATTTGGGCCCTGCACTTGGAAACAAGGAGCAAGCTTCATCTCTGGAACTCTGGTGATTTCAAGGGCCTCACTCCAAGCAGACAGTGGGCCGGTTCTTAAAGTGTTACTGGTTTTTTCATAGATTCATAGATTATAGGACTGGAAGGGACCTCGAGAGGTCATTGAGTCCAGTCCCCTGCCCGCATGGCAGGACCAAATACTGTCTAGACCATCCCTGATAGACATTTATCTAACCTACTCTTAAATATCTCCAGAGACGGAGATTCCACAACCTCCCTAGGCAATTTGTTCCAGTGTTTAACCACCCTGACAGTTAGGAACTGTTTTGGAGCCGTTTATTGCTAAATCTCTTCCTGGGAAAGGATTGTCTTTCATCTTTTCTCTTAACATCTGTAGCAGGGCTCACCTATTCCTGCTTCTGCTCTCTAGCACAGTGAACGGGAACTCAAAATTCGGCAGCCAGTTTTAAAACTCCCTCAGATTTGACAGTTTGCAGTGGAACAGTTGCAGCAGGAGGATCCCTAAAGGGAATTAACACTTTGCAGCTATTCGAGTCTGACAACTGAAAAAGAAAGTTGGCAGCATTAGCGAAAGAGGCAGTGATGGTCAATGTCCTGGGAAACAAAGAAAGGAGACTCATTTCCGAGGGGGCTAGCAGGGAGTATTTGTTAGGAAGTGTTTACTGAGCGGTGGGATATGAGTGGGAACTTCATCATAATACCAGATCAAATGGAAAGGAATGCATAAGACAGAGTGGTGGAAATGTCAGTCTTTGACACATGCAGAAATAGAAATAACGAGGGTAGAGAAACCAAGAATAATAAACAAAAGGGAAAGCCTTGGGTAGCTGAGGATCTACAGCTCGGCTCTGGGCTGAAAGCCAGCAGGGGGTCCATGGCTGTGAGTTGTTCGAGTGCTCCATCGATGCCTAAACTGGATTGCAGCCTATCCGTGGTGACAATTAGTGTCCCGCTCCCCATCACAGAAATAAGGTCATATTTGGCCATGGGCAGAAGAACTTGATTTAAAATTCCTTTCCTCCCCCGTCCCTCTGTTCCGCTGGCACATGAAAGTCTGCAACATCCTTGAAAGAGGCGGGGGAAACTGCATCCCTTTGTCGAGTGACAGCCCAGCCTGTCGTTTTGTTTTATTTTTATTTTTATCCCTTTGCATTGGACTATGAATAGAAATGCAGCAGCACCGCCTGGTTCCCGAAAGGACAGGCTGGGTACTTGGGAGAGGGAAATTGCAAGAGATGCAAAAAAGAGTAATGAGGGCATGTCAGATCCTTCCCCAGGGAACCCAGCAAACTCTGGCAAAACATAGGCAGGGCAGGCCACTCTAGTCAGGAAAGAGCCACCGCATCCTCCTGAGGGAAGAGAATATAGTTTTATTATCTTGTAAAGCCGCGCAGAACAGAACCACTGAGGTCTTTGATCTGCTGCTGGTCTTGATCACTGAGTCACTGGCCACACATGCAAATAGTTCAGCTCATCTGCACTGACCCCTTTCACCAGGAAATGCGAATTTATATAGAGTCAGATTCTGCAATGCTTATTCACACTGAGCAGTGCCTTACTGCATAAAGAGTCTCACTAATTTCATTAGAGCTGCTAGAGGAGCAAGGCAGTCCTCAGTGAGGTTGGGATGGTATAATCTTGCCCATGGCTTCCTGCGGTCAGTCTGTCACAGGAACTTCAGTATCGATGTTAATTTTTCTGCAGTGATTTATTTGTTGGGGGGAGGGGTGTCTTATGTGGGAGCAATTTGTTCCAATTTCATTATTTTACAGACAGTTTCTCTTTCCCTTTCTCTTGCATAGAAGCACTTTATTCCATTAGTAATCCCATTGGCTCCAATGGCACCACTTCTGGAGTCGGGTGCTTTTCTACCTGTGCCAAGGTATCCGAATCTGGCCCATATAAAGTGGGAGTCCCCTTTTGTGAAGCTTCTGGTGGAATTGCTGTCTCGTTGTTGAGTTTCAAGCCGTTGCCCCTTTGTTGTGTTGGGAAGAAAGGGACAGAGCCTTTCAATCACACAGGTGTCCATACTGGCCAGGCCTGGTTGTAGTTTCTTGGCTTAAAAAAGAAGAAGAACGTAAACAAAAGTGAGTTTCAAAATGTGTTGGGTACTAGATATTCCCTGGCATACTGATATCCCTTTTAAATAGCTGTGTTCCTCGGCATTCATCACTGTTCTAGCAAAACACCCGGAGTTACAGCTATTGCACCTAATACATTCAGGAGAAAGCATGGCTAGAAGGAAGGATATGCACATAGGACCAAATTTGCAGCTGGTGTAACTCCTTTAACTTCAACAGAGTTACAGCATTTAACCCTCACAGCCAGGTCCAGTTACTTACTCAGGTAAAACTCCCCTGGATTTCAGTGGGAGAGTTGCTGGTTTTTTTGAACAAAGATTACAGGATTTTGTGTAGGAGATTCTACAGTAAGGACACAATATAACACTTGACCATATGAAACCCAGCAGAGTAGATTCTCTGCTGGCACAAAGGGATAAAAACTCCATTAAAGTAAATGGAGCTGAGTCCATTTATGCAAGCACAGATGTTGGTCCTACGTTTCAAAGACTGGTTGCTGTAAACAATCCCTATTGTGAATATTTAATTGTGGGGTCAATTTCCAGGATTATTTTAGCAGAATTCATGTTGGAAACTCCAGATTCCAGATAGATTCCCTGCATGCATCTGTAATACGTGAATCTTAAACGTTATGTATTGGTTTTATTGTGGCTAGTGATGAGGCAGCTGAAGTGGTTCCATTCGGTTAAGCATCCGTCTGAAGGTCAGGCTGGGAATCTCAGAAAATCAGCCCTCTCGTGAAGGAAAGCTAATTCTACTGAAGGCCTGATCCACCATTGACAGGAATTCGGGGTCCAAAGGGTTTGCAGGATGGGAAATAGCCTCTCTCCCACTATTTCTATTCCCAGTCCTAGCTGCAACCAAGAAGAATGGAGGTTTATGGGTTTGTTGGTTTGTTTCTTTAAAAAAGAAAAGGTGTTTTCTTTTAACCGGATGTTTTTGAACATAAGAAAGAGCGTTCAGATTTGTTTCATTTTAAGTTGTGGGGTAAACTCGAGGCTGGTTCTGATTTTATCCAAACTGGTTGGTCCATCTCTATTTGCAGCCAATAATTCCTTTAGTTTTATGCAATAAAAGGTTATTGTCTTCTTTCAAAGAGTTGTTTAAACATTTCAGATATCCCAGAGCTGGATCTCTGACCACGTAGCAGGACTCAGTCTCGCTAGTGCTCAATCTGAAAGAAGACTATGTACTTTTGGGATTTGCCATGATGATGATGATGATGAGAGCAGAATGGTTCATCTGGCACATGCAGTCGTAACTGGATATGCTGGTAGCATTAGGTAGAGAGGGACCTGAAGCTGGTCCTGAAAATCCTTACACTTCAGGGACGCCCATATCCAGAGCCAAACTAAAGAGATGACTCCTGTCTCTATAATGGGCCAAACTGAAATAATCTATCTGGGTACCTCTGAACATTGAGGAAGTCCAGATTCAGATCAAAATTTCAAGTTTTAGGCCGAGTTCTAGGCCTGTATAGGTTTCCTCTGACAAATTTACAGCCATGTCTTATTTGTAAAATTCCACCATAGCTGCTTTTCTGCCTCTGTTACTAACTGTAGGACAGCAGTCATGGATGGGTCAATATTCCATTTGACAGGCAGGTGGCAGTCTAAATATAGCGGGATTTCAGCCTCCCTCACGTTATGCACCCAGAAATGTCTCTGGGGTACTTGCAAAGCAGTACATCTTTAACAGGTTCTTTTTCTTTTCTTTGCTATGGAAACTCCTTCAGATTTAGAGTAATGTCTAATAATGTGTCCGTTTGAAAAGAAGAATGTCTAGGGAAATAATTGCACTGTTAATCAATTGGTGTATAACATGAAGCAGAAGTATTGAATGTAAGAACAAGAAAGCCTATGAGTAATTACAGTACATGCTGGATTCAGACGTGTAAATTGTTGTTAGTTCGCTTGTCATTTAAACTGCATGTGATCCAAGCAAATTTCTCACTGTGGCACTGCTAGTACGGGTGCGGTTGTCAGTTTAGAAGGCAATTTGAGGCCTCTTAGGAAGAGGAAACCTGTCTAGTTGAATCTCCTTCTATTCTGATACAATTTGGAAGTCAAAGACATGCTTTTCACTTCTTGGTGCCCTGTATCTTATAACACTGTATAGCCTAGAAGCACAAGAAAAGAGAACCAGCTGGATGTCTTTGTTGTTACTAGCATTTGCCTATTTTCTTAATCACAAGCTAAAATAAGCCACTCTCACCACGTTCTTCATGCCCCTATTATCTGAAGAACGCGTATTGCCTTCATTCTTTACCCTGAACTTTGCAGTGCTTCGGTAGGCTGCAATTCTGTTGAGAAATAAATTGTGCTAAGGGAGGTGTGCAGCTGAATTGGAACCTGATCATTGATTACTGTCATGTCATGTATTGATTTTGTATCATTTCATCATTAATAACAAAGCTGCAATATAATATAACCGAGAGGCCGTAATGTATTTTCTATTGTCATTCAGATGGGGGATGGGAGGATGGGGGAAGAAAGGGCTGAGTTTAAAGTTTAGCTGGCATACTTTAGACTCTCTGTACATAACCTTCGAGGACATAACAGTTGTAGGGATTGAGTTGTATTTTGCTAGCCTGGTAAGCTTCTTTTTGTTTTGTTTAAATAGTGATGTATTTAACTAATGACATGTTGTACAAAGCATTGTTAATTTAATGGATGTTTTGATTTTCCTATAACAGATCCATATAACATTTCATTTTGGCAAGAACTTTTCATAAGCCAGCACCAGTATTGCACACAGCATTAAGTTGACTAGTTATGCTTTTTTTGTGGGGGGGAGAGGGATTTTTTTTCTGTGGACAAATAGCATTACCCATTGTTAACTTACTGCTTGGGGCTATATCTTGAATTTCCTTTTAAAATGAAATTTAATTTAAAGTTGCCTGTGAGGGATATGAACAAGCAAGAGGCTATGCCAAAATGTCTCAGTTGTATCATCTTGTAATATATTGCAGCTTTATGCCAATGATTCCTTGCTTATCTGTACACGGTACATGCATGTTTTGAACTAATTCTGCATTCTCCATTTGTGGTGAGTTATTTAGCATTTTTACCACCTTTTGTGCCATTCAACTTGTACAGAAAACATTTTTATTGATGTTTTAAAAGGGTAAAAAAAAAAAAAATTCTGCTCCATAGCTGTAAGTAGAACTCGATTACTTAGCTAACAGATGTAAATTAGTGGTCGTAGTATTAGAAACGCTAGGTTGCTAGTGAACAAGCTTTTGAGAGTAAATGCATGGTATTGTACATCTCATTTCTTAATTAATTCTTCCTTTACCTCTGAAAAGAAGATTCTCTCTCTCTCTCTCTCTCTCTCTCTCTTTCTGTCTTTCTCTCTGTCTCCCCCTCTCTCATGGTTGTAAGTTACAGATTTGGGCATAAGTAAAATAATATACAACAAAGTTTGAAAAGCAGTTGTCAACAGGGTCTCCTGAGTATGTGTTACGTATCAAAGAACAATGCCTTTGGAACTCTGAATAGACACTGAACTTTAAAGTAAAACAGATAAAAATCAGTCACATATTGTCTTTGATTGAACTGTACAATTAGTTAAATATTCACAAGATCATATCATTAGTAAAATATGTGATCTTATTTACCCATTTCAACAGAGGCGTTAGGCATGTGATGTATTTGCAAATCATTATGCCACATACATGTCTGTTTTTAATGGATGTCGTCCCATAGGTCTGGAATTGCAGAGTTTGCATATGCTCTTTGATTTTACTGAATATTCAGTGGAAGGTCGGGGGATGAAATTGTGTTAGCGGTTCTGAAAACATCTCCTCCTCTTCCACATTCCCAGACTCTGATTTCAATTTACAGGGTTTCTTTGGTAGTTGTGCCTCCGTTTGCAACAGAGGACATACAACATTAAAAGTTTGGAAAATATGGGGCCACTTACAAAGATGGGGTCTGTAAGAAACAAAGGAAACAGACATGAACAACTCCCCCCAAAACCTACCAATCCTAGATCCGTGTGTCTATCCCTCATGCCTCTTCTCTCTTAGCAGTATTTCCTTTTGTTAGAAGACTTAACGTTCTAGCCCAAATTTCCATTTTTGTGAGGTGTTGTGAACTGTTTTTACTACTTGTAATAATCATCCCAGATCTGATAATACTTGTAATGCAATGCCATGCAGCAGAGAACCGGTCCACTTTCTAGCTTTGCTCTCAATATTTGTTATTCATTCTTTTCTCATCTAAATGTACATTTGCAAGATGTGTGTAATGTCACTTTCAAAAATAAAATTTGGTTTCAATATTTAGGCTGAGAAAATCTTTTGCTTCTTTTTTATTTGGCCTGATAAATATGTTGAAAACAGATATGAGTAGTTTTAGCTGTTCCCAGTCTTGCCCAAATTAATCCCATTTGTATTTGCACGAAAGGAAAATGAGATGGGGAAGGGATCTTGACAGTAGTGAAATCATGAAAAGATCCCGATACGCGTGATGGAAAAAGTGACGTGCAGATGACCCCAATGAAGTCAAAGGTTTGCACCAGGTTCAAAACTGTGCTAAACTTGACCCATGCATTGAAATCTCGCCTGGGCAGTGGCCAGCATAAAGCCTGTGCGCCACCTAAGTCTCACTTTAGCCCTGTGTTGAGGGGTTTAGTGGGACGTGAGTGGTTTGTAGGGTTTGCGGTGGCTCTCTGCACAGGGCTGACTTTTACCCATAGCAAATAAGGTCCAAGTTCTTCTCTCACAGGTACATTAGTGGGAGCACAGTGAAGTCAATGACATTCTTAACTGTAAGCCCTTAGAAATGTTAAGAGGGTATAATCCTTCTCATTCAGTTATACAGTGCAAGCTATTTTCCTGTTTATTTTCTGGTCAGATCTGCAAAATTAAAGCTGAATGTGTTGACTCTGCTTGGCCCTTATCATTGGATGATGAAACTTGAATTTTCCTCCATGAAGAGCTCAAATGCTTTTCAATACACTCAGAAGGAGGCCTTTGTCCTTTTTCCTGTAGTCGCCTTACCATAAACCAGAGAGAGCCAACATACTCAACCCTCTCTGTCCAGGTCCCATTAGCAAGCGATGCAGGGGCTGATTATTGGCATCCATTAGTCATTAACAGGCTGTGCTTGGACAAGCTAAAAACAGAGCATACAGTACATTATTGTTTTCAATGAAAGACCAAGTTAAAAATCTGTGATTCCCATAATGAAACCAGGAGAAGAAAAGCCCCAGTAGAGCAGCATGCATTTGAACGTGCGTAAGCTGAAGGCAGTGCAGACACAAACAAAAAAGTAGAACAAATTCTTTAGAAATTATTCTGCATTCATCTTCATTGTAGCCCCAAAGCGAACACAGCACCCCTGTGACTGGAGAGGTTTTAACGGGCCACTTCACCTTGAATAGTCCCTTGAAAACTACTTATACTAAACAGTCTATTCCACCTTGTATTTAACAGCAACACTTTGAGTCAGTTTCCCAGATCTGAAGAAGAGCTAGAGGTAAGCTCGAAAGCTTCTCTCTTACCAGCAGAAGTTTGGTTCAATGAAAGATATTACCTCACCAACCTGTCTCTCTATGGAAACTAAGGGCCTTCTTCAGGAACGACAAGGTTTAAAACTCTGTCCCCTCCCTGTATGTTATGTGTGGCTATATCAGCTGCTCTAGACAGTGAAAAGTATACCGCAAGTTGCCACATAGTGAATCTGCCACACACCGGCTTGCTGAGCAGTAACATCCCATGAGGAGCCAGTTATGGTGGGGTGCAAGTCCCAGAGAGCGGGCTAACTTACTAACAGTAACGGGATGTTACTGCTCAGATGTGTGCTGCAGATTCACACTGCCGCTTGCAGTAATGTGTAGACAAGCTTGCAGAGGAGATATGATATTGGGACAATATGGTATTTGGCTAATAAGGACCATTGCTGAAAAACAATGGGCCTGATTTTGCTCACACACCTGTAAACTCTGCTGACGTAAATGAAATTACTCTTGATTTAGATCAGCGTAAGTGAGCGTAGAATACTGCCTCCAAAATTCAGTATTCCCACTAACTCTGCATGGATCAATATATAGACACAATTCACTTTCGGTTTCCCTCTTTCATCATAGCAGTGAAAATACATGTATTAACTTCTGGACGCGTTATACCCAAGTACACTGTCCATTTTCTGTTTCTGTTGTATGGACTGAAACAAAACGTCTGATCTGTTTGGAAAGCGCTTGGTTGGTCTCTTGACCTAATCTCCACTTGATGCTCAGCCCTTGCTTGCTGTGCAAATCTGGTTCTAATCAAATGAAACATACTTTTTCCTGTCAGGCTTGTCAGCTGCAAATAATCCAAGGATTCTGCGGTTCCTGGCTTTGAATCCCAGCCCAAAATGTGGCAGACAGCTATGTAGGGTATTAGAACATTTATCTTATGCTGCTCTGTGAAATGTGGAAGACAGTTGCAAAGTAAGCTAAGAATTTCTCTGTAATAAAGTGTTCTTTATCTTGCTTTTTCCCTAAATAAGACACTTCTAACAGAGAGAGGGCCTGCAAATCTAGAATTACTTGTACAGCATCTAAAGTTCCTCCTAAAATCTCACTTCCACTGCTTGCCTTCCACCACTAGCCATCTGCATCTCCTCCCATGCCAGCTCCGTAAATCAATAGATGCCCATCTTCAAAGGTGTAGTTTTGTGTTCACCCAACTTGCACATGACCCTTATCACAACTCCAAGGGTTGCACATTAGCAAATCCTGTCTGTGCAGAAGTGCACGCTTGAAAATCTAGCCCCATAGTATAATATAAAACCAACGTCACAATAAATAAACACTGTACTGCAATAAATAAATAAAATAGCAAGAACCCTGGAACCAACAAAAACTATTTAGGATCTAATCCTGCAGCCATTGAAGTCAATGGCAAAACTTCCATTCACTTAAAAGTTGTAGAATCAATGGCCTTACCCTGCAACTGTAATCATGTGAGAAATCCATATGTACATATCCAGTGCCACTGAACTGAAGTCAGGACTCTTTGCATGAGCAAGGATTGCAAGATGAGGCTCCAAAGTGAGAATGTAAACTGTTTGGGGGCAGGTATCATGTCTTATACAGTATGTTTTTTAATCACCATGCACACCTACGGCATTGTAACAACAGGAATCATTCACAGTGATCTGTGTTTCCTATTCTGTCTGTGGCAAGATCTAAACCACTGATACTGTAAAGATTCCCATTAATTGCACTTTTCCCAACACTGTCATGAATACTACCTTGTTTGTCAAAAAATGGCAAGTATAGAAAGGACGCACAAGTTTGCCGCCATTTTCCTTTTGGTTCATAGTGCAGTGCACGAAGTGTGTCCAACACAGCTTCCTGCTTTAGGGGCCAACTCAGCAGGGTGCTGAGTGTGTTCACCTCCCATTGATTGCAAAGGGCGCTAAGCATTTTCCAAAAGACCTGCAGCTGTGCACAGACTAAGCATTAATCAATAATAAAGCAAGAAGCTATGGCTTATTCCATATATAATCCAATCTAGTTGCCTCACTGTCCCAATCAATGGGACAATTTGGAAGCATAACGCCTTCAGGAAGGCACCTTTCTCTGAGTGAAAGTCATCCCAGTGCAGAGGGCCAGCATGAAGAGAATTTCAATCTGTATGATTTTTCCTGCCCGCCAAGACTAAATATCAAGTTCAACTCCAAACGTTTTAGCCGGTTTCTGATGGTGCTTTATCTACCGTTGTCAGGAATGTTGCATTCAGTTAGGCCACTTGCAAGAAGTGAGGTTGCAATAAATGAGATAGATATTAAATTATGCTAAATGAATTACTACTATCCTTGTCATGGAATCCTGTTTATTTTAAGCAGAGATATTCCCACAGTTGTTACACCCAAGCAAATGTTGGGAACCCAACACCTGCTTTGGACAGATTTAAATTGTTTCTTCTAACAACTGTGTTCTGAGTGTGTCATCTTCTAATTTAAGTGTTTTGAGTGCACTGTTAATATCAGCAGGAGAAATGGGGAAGTGCCATTCAGCTGGTAAAACAACAAGTATTCATCTAGTCACCCCGAGAGTGACGGCTAGAAACTGTTTGCAGAACACAGCCAAGGAGAAGTATGTCATTTTTATAGGTCCCTGCAACATGTCAG